AGAAGAAGAAGAAGAAGAAGAAGGAGAAAAAGAGGGAGGAGGAGGAAGAAGAGGAGGAGGACGCGACAAGCTCGCCAACGAAAGAAGGGAAGAAGCGGAAGGCGGAAGTTGAGGAGAGCGCGGAGAAGAAGAAGAAGAAGAAGAAGAAGAAGGAGAAAAAGTAGGCAAAGGAAAAATATGGACGGCTGGGGATGGAAATGTGTAAAAGAAGGGTCGGATGCTTGGGCGGGGAGAAGGCTGTGAGTTGCCGGAAGCGAGGGGGAAAAGCAGGGAAAAGTGGCTTCACAGGAAAGACTGACTTGCTGGCCCTGTGGGGTTGTGTATTTGCTGTCCGGGTGCCTGGGCGAGGGACAAAGTCGGGGCGGACAGTGCAAAGGCTCGAGCTCTTTTCGTTTGGAAAAGAAAAAAATAAGTGTGGCACAGAAAGGTATGGGCGTTCCCGTTCAAGTGTTCTCAACAGGTCTCCGAGCTTGGCCAGGCTGACCCCCCAAGTGAGGGTCACGTGTGCGTACTTTCGACATTGATTGCTTTGGTTACGGCGCCCCTAGGCGTTCTGACTGCACTTCACTCCAAGCGTTGCGCTGGGACTGTTTTTCTTTCCTAGTTTCGTCATACTACGACACTCCTAGCGCCGGGAAAGGGCACTACCAGGAACTCGCCCTTTCCACCGCACTCCTTTCCCTCCCCTGGCTCGCCACGCGCTCTTCTTTCTCCCTTTCTTGCCTTTTAGTTTTTTAAGTCGATGCCGGCGCATCTCCTACTTCTGCCATGGGGTTTGGGGCGGGCGAACCGGTTACCTGCGTCCGGGACTCTGTCTTCTTCTTGCCGGCGCTGCTGATCAGGACGGAGGAAGGGATGACCCCCCGCGTCAAGGCCAAGGTTTTGGCGTTAAGACCAGGAGGCTTGCGTTTCAGCACCCTGTTGGTCGGTCCCTGGTGAAAGGCAAACTTGGAGGCAGGGACGGGCGTGGAGGATGCCGTCTCCGCCTTCGTCTGAGGAGCATGGCGGGCATGGGAAGCCTCGTCCGGGCCCTGCGCGCCAAAGCCGAGGATGGCCATTAAATCTCCTGGCGGCTGAGTCGAACTTTCCCGAGGCGCAGACAAATTGGAAGGGTGGTGTCCCTGTTGTTGTTGTTGTTGTTGTTGTTGTGGTTGTTGTTGTTGTTGCTGCTGCACTTGTCGGGGCGGCGGGAGCGCTGGGTATTGTGAATGTTGCTCTTGGAACAGGTGGGAACGCGGTGCT